GCAGTGGCTTATGCCTGTAATTCCAGCACTTTGGGAGACTAAGGTGGGAGGATCACTTGAGCCCAGGAATTTGAGACCAGCCTGGGCAACATAACGAGAACCCCATCTCTACAAAAAACAAAAAATTAGCTGGGTGTGGTGGCATGTGCCTGTAGTGCTAGCTATTTGGGAGGCTGAGGCAGGAGGATTGCTCCAGTCCCAGAGGTTGAGGCTACAGTGAGCTGTGATCATGCCACTGCACTCCAGCCTGGGTGACAGAGCAAGACTCCATGGAAAGAAAAGAAAGAAAAGAAAGGAAGGAAGGAAAAAAGAAAAGAAAGAAAAGAAACAAAGAAGAAACAAAGAAAGAAAGGAAGAAAGACCTCTTTGTAGATGAAGTGGCTGATGAGGTTGCTCTCTTCAATTAGGGAACACATCCCTTACTTTGAAAGGTCTTTTTTCAGGCCCGAAGCAATTAATATTATTGGGCACCAAAAGAAGAAATGTTCGTTTTTTGGGTTGTTCTAGATCCACCTGCAAACTGCTTCTTGGGCAGGGGTTAGCAAAGGTGGGAACCCATATATATATAAAACATTACGTGGGTATCCAAACTGGTAGAGAATCTTATTTATAAATTAATCAAATGAATTATTCAACATGTTCATTTTCAAATGTTTTTGATAGCCAGATCCTTTATTGTCTTTCCAATACCACTGTATCTCAAATTTTTTAACTGGTTGTTATACTCCGAAAATTAATGTAATAAATATTTTTTCAGGTATGCAAGTATGCCTTGCATGCTTGTATACAGATGCATTCCACAGATGGTAGATATTTATGGAATTCTTGTTTCAGCACCTTTAGAAACTGACTTGATGCCTATATGCCTTATTCATTTAGATAATAAAATTTAATTAAAGGGTTTGATTTCAAGTCAGTCCTTAAGTTTAGAAGCTCAGTTGTGAAGCAAAAACATTGTCTTTTTTAGGCATTCCCAATTGTGACCACAATACTTAAAGTAGCCACAAAACTTTATTTTCAACTAAACAATTGGCAAGTTATGTTTTACGCTATGTAAATTCAGCCATATTGCTCCTATTCACTGTATTCCCATACAACTACATAATTATCTCTTAGGATGACATGAGAATACAATGTCTATAGAATAGAGATCAAGTTTGAAAACAAAAATCGTTAGGGTTATATTTAGAAAGTAAATTTCTCAAGGCCAGGCGTGGTGGCTCATGCCTATAATTCCAGCACTTTGGGAGGCCAAGGCGGGCGAATCACCTGAGGTCGGGAGTTCAACTGGTCTGACCAACACGGAGAAACCCTGTCTCTACTAAAAATACAAAATTAGTCGGGTATGGGCGCATGCCTGTAATCCCAGCTACGTGGGAGGCTGAGGCAGAAAAATTGCTTGAACCCGGGAGGTAGAGGTTGCGGTGCATCGAGATTGTGCCATTGCACTCCAGCCTGGGCAACAAGAGTGAAACTCTGTCCCCAAAAAAAAAAAAAAAAAAAAGTAAATTTCTCAAAGAATTTAACAATACTAAGGTAGACAGGGACTCTTTTTCTTTCTATTAAGAAAAATTCATACCAAAAGCAACATCAGAAAGTGATTATCCCTGCAATCCCAGTGCTTTGGGAAGCTGAGGTGGGAGGATCGCTTGAGGCCAGGAGTTCAAGACCAGCCTGAGCAACACAGCGCAACTCTGTCTCTACAAAAAAAAAAAAAAAAAAAAAAAAAAAAAAAAAAATTTACCCAGGCATGATGGTGCATGCCTGTGGTCCCAGCTACTCAGGAGGCTGAGGCAGGAGGATTGCTGGAGCCCAGGAGATCGAGGCTGCAGTGAGCTATGATCGTGCCACTGAGCTCCAGCCTGGGTGAAAGAGCAAGATCCTGCCTCTTTTTAAAAAGAAAGGAGAAAGAAAAAGTGACTGTGACTATTTCACATTGGGTCACATATCTTTGTTGCAAAAGTAAGAGTGTCTGCATCTTAAATATCAAAGTCAAGCTTCTTGGTTTCCCACGGTTAATTCTGAGAATGATGTCCAGAAGAATGCAACATAGGGAAGGCACAACTGCTTACTTCCCCGTAACCTGGGAGGTAGGGAGACACAAAACAAAGGCAAGCCTTTTCTAGCCTTCAATCCTCTAACCTGCAATCACTTGTCTCTAAAACTTCTTGGTTTGGCTACCCTCCCTATCCATGTTTGTAGGTTCAGTTCTCTAAAGTATGCTCCAACCTTGCAAAGTGAGGCTAACACCAAGGCAGGCTTGAGTCTGCTGTCTGGCCCTTTTTCTCCAAGAATCAACACTGAAACTCAAAGGAAGGGGAGAGGGTTAACATAAAGAAAGTACTTTTCAAACACTAGCAAAGGGCTCTTGACCCTCTTTCTCTTTGGCACAAGTGTACACGCACATGCACATGCATGCACAGATGTCCAAGTCACACGACAGTGTCTTTCTGCCCTTTCAGTAGAGGATGAACATGAAGAATTGTTGAAGGAGAGCAAATGTGCTGGGTGCACCACAATGCAAACAACTTTGATCTGATTCACTGTGCACTGCTTTAGGGACTCTGACAAAAGTATGTCCAAGATTAATAATGGTTGCTGGGGTTGGCAGAAGTTCAAGAATCAGATATTATTCCTTCAATTTATAACAATCATCTCCCCACTTACCCTCAACTCCACCCTCATATGCCCCAATAAATATTTGCAATTTATGATGAAAATATCAAAGAAGGAGTGAACAAAAACATACTAGAAAGAATTGTTTCCTGACAGTTTATGGCCTGGAGATGAGAGAGAGAACAAACAACATAATGAATGCAATCAATCAACTAATCCTTATTATCACCCAATTCTAATATGAAAAATCCCATGAGCACCTGTTTTTCCTAATAAACCATGCTTTAGAATCTTTATCTTCACTCTGGTGAATGTAAGTTTTCTAACTAGAGTGACCCGTGTATCCTGGCCAGTCCACGACAGTCCTGGTTGCTTATTAACAATTAGTGATACTTGGCCAGCGTGGTGGCTCATGCCTGTAATCCCAGCACTTTGGGAGGCCAAGGCAGTCGGATCACCTGAGGTCAGGAGTTCAAGACCAGCCTGGCCAACATGGTGAAACTCAATCTCTACTAAAAATACAAAAATTACCTGAGTGTGATGGCACATGCCTGTAATTCCAGCTACCAGGGAGGCTGAGGCAGGAGAATCGTTTGAGTCTGGGAGGTGGAGGTTGCAGTGAGCAGAGATCTCACCACTGCATTCAAGCCTGGGTGACAGAACAAGAGTCCGGGAAAAAAAAAAAAATTGGTGACACCTGTTGTCATCTGAGCCCGGGAAGTGGAGGTTGCAGTGAGCGGAGATCTCACCACTGCACTCAAGCCTGGGTGACAGAGTGAGACTCTGTGAAAAAAAAAAAAAAAAAAAAAGTGACACCTGTTGTCTGTGAATAATTTGCTAATAAGCACCTCTTGATTTAGACAGTAAGTGTCCTGTATGGACAATAAATTATATGGTCACCTTAACTGTAGATAAACTGTGAGAGGCAATCAGGTGTCTATTTTCATGTTTGTAGTGCTGTCCAGTTTTTATGCTGTCCATTCTTCCAGTCCTCAAAACAATCAAATGGCCTCGGCAGAATCTGATGTTGTTGTGCATCCAGGCTTTTTAGCAGAGGCTGACATTTGGCTTTCTCTTTGAGGGCCTAAAGTTGACAGCACTAAGACCAGCCTTGCAAAGATCACTTTGCCCCAGTATATTTATGTTTCTTCCCTGGTATCAACTTATGGAAAGGTAGAGGTGGTAGGGTCTTCAAGAAGTTTTCAGATTTCATTTGGGGGAGGGGAGTGGCAGTGAAGGAGCAGTGGAACCCTTTTCCCCTTGAAATCTTGCTCAGATCCCCACTGTGTGAAGTCAAAGAAAGCAAAGACTCTCTGGTGGAACTGGGAGGTAAAGGCACAATTGCATAGTCTCACCCACAGAAGACTTCTTTCTCCGTTGCTTCTGCTCAAGGAATCCCCTAATGCAAGATCCTGCTCAAGAACAGAGTCTATCGGCCAGGCGTGGTGGCTCTCACTTGTAATCCCAGCACTCTGAGAAGCCAAGACAGGAGGATCACTTGAGGCCAGGAGTTCGAGACCAGCCTGGCCAACATGGTGAAACCCCATCTCTACTACAAATACAAAAAATTAGCCAGGCGTACTGGCACACACCTGTAATCCCAACTACTAGGGAGGCTGTGGCAGTAGAATTGCTTGAGCCCCAGAGGTGGAGGGTGCAGTGAGCTGAGATCCTGTCACTGCACTCTGGCCTGGGCAGCAGAGCAAGACCCTGTCCCCATCTCCAAAAAAAAAAAAAGAACAGAGTCTATCTAGTTCAATTTGCTGAATTTCCCAATGAGGAAACAGGTTCATTTCATCAGCTCCTGATCACATATTACAATTTCACTTTCTGTATTGGTAATCCTACAAAGTCATGAGTCAACAGCAGTGTAGTCCACACTGATTGTCATAGAAACCTATCTTCCAAAGAGCTCGGGGTATACCTTCTAACAAGGAAACATACGCTCACAGAGATTAAATGCTTTTCTAGATTATAACTAGTAGGCTCATAGTTACACAAAACAACCAAATGTGGAGCCTGTGTGTGTATGTTTGTTTGTATAGAAAGGAAGTAGAATAAGAGCTAAAAGGGGTATGGCAGTATTAACCCACTTTTAAAATTAAGATTCCTGAGTAAACATATATTTCCCCTTCTAAGAATAGCTACAAAAGAAACCACAATAATAATGATAGGTGAAGATTCTGATCACAGTATTGTTTAGTAACTCTAAAATGTACATGTGTAAGGACAAAGTATGGGACAGAAGAGGTAAGACAGGAACAAAAGGCTGCTATTGAGCCAACAGAATTCTGGTGATTTATTTTTCTACCTTTCCCAAACGTTCTTTTAACATGAAACAAAACAAAACAAAAACAAAAACAGAGAAGACAAAGAGTGCTTACCACGGAGACCTTGCTCACAACATCTCCGGCAACTGCTAAGCCTTGAGCAAAAGTACGGGCTGCTACAAATGCACGAGTAACCTGGAGCTTCAGTTTGCGAGGGACATCTCCGAAGGGCTTCAGCTGCTCCGTATACTTGCTCACACATTCCAGATACTCATCTGTAAAGTGGTACTGGGAGTTCACCAGGCGGAACATCCGCTCCAGGAGGCGAGCCCAGAAGTCATTTAGCATTTCTTCCAGGTTCACATTTCCCACCACGTAGTAACGCTTCAACTCTACGAAGAGATCTTTAAATAGCTCAGAATTTTGCATGTATAAATGGCCATATGTCTTCACAAACATATCATTCAGGGATTTCTCTGCATTTTCAAGTAGTTCTTTGAAGAATTCTAAAACCAACACCAAAAAAAAAAAAAAAAAAAAAAAAAAAAAGGAAAAACGAAAGAGTTTTCAGTATTTAAATAACTGCTTTTCCAGTGAATTTGAAAACGGAAAAAAAACCCACAATTAAATTGGAAAACATGTTTGTATATAGGGTGAATTTCCTTTGGGGAATGTGGCATCTCAGATCCTTTGCCAATGAAAGGAAACCTATGTCACAAAGTCACTTACATAGGTGTCTGAGAGAGGAAAAAAATGAAAATTTAAACTAACAATTTCTCAGGAGTCAGTACAATGCACACATTCTCTCATTCTCTCTCTCTTTCTCTCTGTCATAGGTGGATAAAGAAAAAATGGAAAAAAATGGGCACATGAAGTCTAAAACATGAGATTTCCCTCAACTTTTTACTTAAGAATCTAAGCCAAAATTAACCATGCCTTCTAATTGTAACCTAAGAGCAGGACAGGTGTCTTCAAAAAGTTGTTATTTTACTTGGGCCTGAATTTTTTTTCATTTCTCCTTTTTACTTATCTATATGATCATGCACTATAGCTGCCTGGAAAATGCTTGAGGCCAAAAAATATCATCAAACACCCCTACAAGCAAGCATATAAGTTTTCTGAAAATAAGTTCCTGGGCGTTTCTCTGTGACAGTAGTACAAATTGGGAGTATCCAGCTTGATCCTGGGTTTCTAAAGGATTTATACAATAACATCATGAGACTCTTTTCAATGTTCCTTCTGATTGTGTGTGTGTGTGTGTGAGAGAGAGAGAGAGAGAGAGAGAGAGAGAGCATGCATAATGGACTTAATAATAAATATAGTATATTTATGAGACAACATGAAAAAACTGAAAAATGTAAATGAGAATACCTGGTTATTTCAGATTTACTTTTTGGCCGCCATACAGCCACAGACTAAGTGTTAGATATTTTAATCTTTTAACTACAAATGGCAAACTAGTTTTCTCCTGAAGCTTTCCTCAGGAACTTCAATGAAAAAACAAGCCAACAGTGTATCTGTAACATTAATCATTCTTAAAGAATCTCTTGCCTGGTATAAAAATAAACACCTCATGATATCAAGTTTATAAGCAGGAAATATAACAAATACCAAAGCAAAATATAAGGACCACATCAAATAAGAAACTGCCTCTGAGTAAATATGGAACAGAAAAGAAAATATGACACTTACTTCAAAGCCAGAACATTGGTGAGCTTATCAAAATGCAATAGTCCTACAAAACCATTCTCTTCTCACGTTGGGTGGACAACTCAGAGACTGGCCACTAATTCCAAATAGCTTTTCAAAATCTGGATGGAGGAAACTGAATACTTTTGCAGGGAGATGTATGTGTGTGACTTTCCTGACATGCCAAGAGATTCTATACTTATACCTCTCAGCCCCTAACTCATCACTTAGTGGTTCCTTGAGGCCTAAGGATGAAGTCCACAGTCCTCCCTGGTTCCAGCTTTTCAAACATTGTAGGTATGATTTGTGTGTGTGTGTGTGTGTGTGTGTGTGTGTGTGTGTTTTTCTTTGCTTCTCTCCTTTTCATCTGGTTCTTTTCCCTACTATTGCTTGCCTTTTGTTTACTGGGCTTTCTTCAGAGAAACAAAGGGAAACAGACTTCCTTTGCATAGTAAACAAATAGACAGGTCAACTCATCCCCATTACAAGTGTGCAGCCTGACATTTTAACCAAAGCTCTCTCCCTGAAAGTGAGAGGGCAGAAACTGCACAAAGAGTTAGGAGAACAATAAAAGAAGCATACCAATCAGCTACCTGGGATGGCCTTTTATTCTCTCCAAAATCCCCTGAGTGGTTCTCAAAGTGTGGGCCTGGGACCAGCAGGATCAGCATCACCTGGGCACTTGCTATAAATGCAAATTCTCAGCCCCACCCCAGACTTACTGAATCAGAAACCCTGGAGGGTCCCTTTTGCTGTGCATCATTCCATTTCTACTAAGGGCACTCTCAGCACCAGCTAGGCAACTGGCTTGTCCAGGCCAAATGGTTTGGTGGACAGGCCAAAATTTTCAGCTATCTGTGATGCCGATATACCCTAAAGTTGGAGAACAACTGCTCTAGCTGCTGAAACTTCTCCCATTTCACCTATCAGTTGCAAGCACCAACAACTCAGGGGCTGTGTTGAGTGTGAAGCTGTCAGGGTAAGCATTAATGTTTTAATTAAGAGAAAATGTCTTTCCAATGAATTGTGTTTTTTAATAAATTTGTTGCATTCCTAGGAATGACTGTTTTATTGTCTTGGGGACAAATTTTCTTGTGTGGAACTCTCTCAACTAAGTGTTAACATAGATGATTAAATGTACGCAGTACTTTTCTAGAGTTCAAAGTTGAGAAGGGACCTTAAATACCATCTGGTCCATGTCCCACACCATGCTTGAATTTTGCTACCATCCTTGCCAAGTGGTGATTGCTCATGGAGGGCATTAAAGGCACATGTGGGTTGCGTTATTAAATGACCAGTGTGTTGCACACATAGCTATCATATAGTGGAAAAATAAAGCCTTGTCATCATTGAGAATAATATGCAAGCCTTGTGTCAATCCAGTGCTATTAATATTCCATGACCAAAGAAAGTGGATTCCAACAGCAACCACAGGTCCTTCCTTATATTGAATTTTTATTATATGGCTCAAAAAATTGGCACATATCAGCAGAGATTGGACATTCAGAATTATTTGACTTGTGCTTTCAGACTCATTTAGTAAGTAATTCCCTAAACTCACTTGTATTTTTAAGGAATGTTACCTGGAGTCATGTTGGTTTTTAGGGGTGGGGTGCAGTGTGACATTTCAAGCTTAGTTTTAATTTAAAACTTCTAATAAATGTCAAAGTTTAGCCTTTTGACAAAGTGCTGCAAGTCAAACAAACACTAAATCACTGAACACTTTATGGAAAAAGTAAAATGTTATCTATCTTGGAGTTCCTCATTCAGGTCAAGAGCTTGTGGGTGGATGTAGCCATATATAACATAGCTACTTTGGAGTGTAAGAGAAATGGCCTAATGAACAGGAGACCGATTTGAAACTGACATGCCCCTGTCCAACACCCACCATGGACCATACTTTGGTTTGCATGACTCACATTCTGTCTAGGAAAGTTTCTCTGTGTGTGTGTGTGTGTGTGTGTGTGTGTGTGTGTGTGTTTATGCTAGTGTGTACTTTAAGAGCCTAGCTTGGTGTTATATACATACTAAATCCTAATTCATTTCATCACTCAGAAAATTTATTTTCTTTCCTTCACATTTTAAAAGACTCTTTAATGTGGCTATATAAGTTGCAAATATAAAGAGCATTTGAGTGAGCATGTGGTTAATAAATGCTTGAGAAATTCTATAAAACTGATATAACGAGTTAAAACATCACAATTTCTCCAAATGTGTATGCAATTTGACAAGTATGTACTGAGTGGCTCTTATGGGCTCAAATCAAAGCACATGGTGTTTTACCATGTATCTTAACCTTCTCTCTGCCCAATCAGACCATAATGAAAATTTCTGGTAAGACAAATTTCCCCCAACCAATTCACCTTTACCATACACTGCCACTCTCCACATACGGTTTTATGAGAATACCAGAGATTTTTTTTTAAACGTCTATAAAATTGTTAATCCCGCACTACATACAAAAGGTTCCTAAATATTCATATATTTAATCTATGAGAGTCAACCAGACAAAAATCAGGGGATCCAGAAGACCCAGACTCATTTCTTTTTAGACGGATTCTTACTAGCCCTGTTACATGGGACTATTCTACCTATGCCTTTTGCCTCAAAGGGACCTCATAAGGATGGCAGACATCTTTTAAATTCTAAAATCCATAGCAATTAGGGACAATATCAACCAAAGCATAATAATTTGCTATTAGAAAGAAGGGGAAAAAATCCTTTTGCATCTATTCCTTTTATTAAACTAGCAGCTCGCATGTTCTTGCATAATTCTTTCACATCCCCAATCCTCCTTTCTATTCCCATGACATTTACCTTTACAATGACGAAAGAAGCATAAATTAGCCATTCAGATCCCGGTCCACAGCCATCAATAGCAACTTCAGTAATCGCTGCAATGTTCATCTCCATTTTTTTTTTTTTTTTCAATTATTCTCAGAACTCAGAATCAGGGTCAGATCTTAACTGCTGAAGAAGAGCTGTACAGGCCCTAGACACCTAGCAATCTTTGCTCATAATCATTATGCCTGAAACTAATTACAATACACTTGGTGACTAAGAAAGAACCAGCCAAGAGCAATGTAAACCAGGATTCCACAACGATCAAAAGCCAAGCAAATTGGAAGTTAGATCTGTGCAGCAATTGCTTGTATTCATGTAAAAATGCTGCTCAGGGAATCTGTTTTAAGTAAAGCTACTGGTATCTGAAAGAAAGTTTGAGAGGTGGTGGTTTGCAAGAATTTGAAATATAGTGTCTGTGATCAGGGTTTATTTCCCCTTCAATTTTCAGTTTGAAGGCTTAAGTATATACATTCTAAAGATAAAGCAGCTGCTACTCCTTGAACTCATGAATGGCCACTAAACACAGGGATGGAAATAAACACTGTAACACGCTATGAATCTAAAGCAGGAGGACACAGTGGGAAAAAACAGGAGATCTCTCACTCGGGGACTCTATGACCCTGCTGGGGGAAAAGGACTAATCTCTCTGAGTCTCTTTTATCCCATCCATAAAATGGGGCTATTATCACTCACCTCATATGGATAATGTTTGGCATAAAGTAGATGCTCAACAAATAAACGTTATTACTAATATGTGAGATAATAGTGTTGTCACTCTTAGAGTTTCTTTGTATCTACAATCATTTAAAAAAATCTTTAAAGACTGGTTTTTATTTTTCCTAGTGGAGTCAAACATTATCTATCTGAGGGTACATAAATGAAGCCAAAGCTGCTGGAGGTCTTCTAAGAAGACCTAAGGCCTTATAAAATTGGGAACTGTTTATCCTAAGGGAAATGCTTAATGGTTCTACCT